CGTGACCGATTGGATCCTTTGCAGTACTATTATTTGTTGGAAGACGCTGGCAAGCCTAAGTTGACAGTTGCTAACAGCTGAATCTCTTTCACTCCTGAGCTCTCTCAATACAGCGAATTCAATCACCTCGCTTCAATATCACATGATTTTCTGCTTTTGTTTCCAAACTACAGAGTGGTGTCACTCGTGTGAAACAAAATGTTTCGCATCATATTGTGAAGATTGTCTTGCATGCATTCACAGAGCTGTAAAAATAAGTGTTGCATTGTCTGTCTTATGAGAACATAATATAAGATTACAGTCGTGAATGATTGTGAAAACTTGTCTTTTGATCCTTCGTCTTTGTTTGTCTGCAGCAATCACAAATATTTCAACCAATGCCGCGGCAAGCAATGCATTTTGGGTGATTGGTTTTACTTTTTAAAAAGCTGGCAATTTAAGACTCTATGGAATAACTCTTAAAGCGCAGTGAATATTCCTTCGTATAGTGCTAGGATTTAGCGAGATTTCGGCTTGTCGTTTCATACGTACATTACCTTCGGTCATAGTTGCGCCAGAGCACAAGTGGTCATGACCGTGACAGTGCACCGTATGATCTTGGTCGTATTCGCCGCTACATATATGAACGAAAATTCCCACGGTGCAGTATCACTAAAACCAACATCTATCATGGTAACTTAACTACAAGTGTGACAGCTATTTTTACCTAAAACAGCACGATCGATATTCTCATTACTAATTAGCGCAGTCTTTATTATCGTTCAACAACAACGTTCCAACAATTGTCATATTAAAAGACGTTAACAGCGAAAAAAAATTTTTTTCGACGATTCATTTTTCAAAAGCTGAACAGTCGTAATTATATTTAACAAAGTCATTAGACCAATCAGAAACTGAACAAAATTTATCCTCGAAAAATGTAATGTAAGGGATGACTAATTGGAAGTTAGAGAAGAGGCAGAAGTTGGCATAACGTAATAAGTGTGAAGTAATGACTAATCAATAAACTCGTGTAGACGTTAAGAAATGTTTTACAACTGTTTACCCACACACACATACACACTGTTTAAAGTGTTTAACAAAGGTAGACCAATATTTGTAAGTCCGAGGTCAAATTTTGATCACAGCTCATAAGATTTTGTCTATTATACTTGTTGAATGACTCATGTTTGGACAAAGTTTTTAAAACAGATGATGTTCCTTTTATATATAAACCTCTGTTATGTTAATTTCGATTAGTTCCCTGAAGAAGTTCGGACCAGATTGCCAAACGAAACGTTGGAATTACTCGCTGAGATTTTACAAATATAATTTTTACAAATGTCTACTTCTCACTCGGCACCCAAATATTTTAGAACTATTCTGTCAAATCTTGAGGACAGTTCATTTGAATTAACATAAAACACGTATTTAACAAGAAGTGTAGCCATGTCTACCGATTGATTCTACATTTAAAAGAGTGAAACTGTTTATTTGCAGTAAATTATCCTAATAAGCGGCTAAGAGTACGGTTGTCTCAACCTAATGCATAAGAGTAACCCGTTCGGTTTGTGCATTCAATAGCCGATCCGAAGGTGAAAAAAAGAAGGTTGAGCGAGGGGTCAACAACCCTCTCTCGGAAAATCAAACCAATAGCTAGAGAAACTTTAAAGTACACCAAAAATACCCTTATCATCCACTAAAGTGGGAGAGAAGAACTGACGCAGGATGATAAGGGAATTCAATATCTGAGGATTAACATGAGGTGATTTGGTGGATGATGACTAACAGTGGAATCAAAGATTCATGTTTACCTTTACATAGGAGATGTCTCTTGTGGACCAAGTGGTTTAGTAAGTAACTCTATGGCATTTGAAGCGATGAGTGTCGTGTTCTGGTCTCAGTGGGAACACCACTTACTGGGAATTTCAGGTACATCCAGATGCTGGTCCTAATGGAACAAAATGCGCGTGCTGGATTCCACTGATAGTCATCATCCACCAAGTAACATTGGGCTAAAGTTTCAGGCACATCAGACGTTTTGACCTGATGTATGAGAACTATATCACCTTTCTGCTGAGTCCGGTACTTTTTCACTACCATTTAAAACTGGAGTAAAGTTGGTCATACTGCAATCACAAGCAGCAATTTCGTTTTGTCTGAAACATTTTCAGAATCATTATTTGATTCGTGTTTAGTAGATTTTAAACCCAGTTATTTAAAGTTTGCAAATTGTTTCCCCGTAGTATTGTAACCAAACATTCGAATTTAACTGCCAATCTACTGAAAAGTATGTGTGGACGCTAGCTGCAATTAAAGGACCCTATGGAGGTATCAGATAAAGCTTTATGTACTCAAAAGTGAAGTGTATGCTGGCATTATCAAGTGCACGCACTCTATCCGGTATTTGTTATTCATTGTGTTTTTGAATGGTATTCTACATATATAAACTTATAAAATTTAAATGTAAGAAGTGACTGGAGAAGGGGCTTGAAACAATAACTAGTAGGGTTACTTAAGATTCCAAAAATCAGTACCATTGTGATCAATTTCGGACACTTCGGAGATTTTCAGTTATCGGTTATTAACATCTTGAGGATTCCTGCCACATATTCACACTTCTTAACAACCTTCTAAGCAGCAGTCAAAGATTTCACGGATTCATTCTCATCTTTTACTGGCCTACATAAGGAAATGGTTTTCCAATTGTTATTGCAAATAATATATAATCTCGATCAGTTGAATAACACCGAATATAGGTATTAAATATATGTGCTAACTGATACATTTAATATAAGAATAAAACTTTTGCACTGTGGTAGAGTATAATTCCATTATGGGTAAAATTTATTTGGATAAAGTCTCACAGTGTTATACAGTAATATTTACTGATAACTTTTACTTTGAGTACCTTGATATGATTATGAGCAATAAATTATGCTCAAAGCGTCACCAGCAAATATTACTGCTTAACACTGTGAGACTTTATCAAAATAAATTTTACCCATAATTGGTACATTTCAGTAGAACCCAACTGTAATTAGTGGGTTCGTAGCGAGAAACTACAATTAGAAATGCTGTTTGTTGTTATTGCGTCCTAATTCAACCAATCGCCTAACTTCGTCTTCGAATCCGTCTCGTTCCTTAACTTCAGTTTTGTAGTGAGTATGAAAACGCTAACAAATATAGGTTGCATTTTAATTATGTAAGTTTCCTTACTGATGCATTTTATATCACTGTTTTGCTTTGTATGTTTTTTTCCTTTCATTACAGATGGAAGTTAGTGTTCTGACATTTTCTACTCTTGGATTTAACTCATTTGTAGTTGGAAATTACTGCTGTACAAGTCATTCCTTTGGCATTCTGTAATTATTTAGTAGACAGTTACTGCCAACAGTAGCATGTCAGACTGCTCACTTGTGTTTATTGGACCGAATCCACAATCAAATCTAGACCATCAAGAAAATGTCTATACATTGGTTCAATTTCTCTTTGAAAAGCATCAAGAATTTGATCTTGAAGAGTCGTCAACAGAAACCTACCTACTACCGAAGGATGAACTAACTCTAATCCGGCTTGTTCTACGTGAATTTGAAAAACTTCAAGTTTGTTAAATTTGTATGCCTTCTATTTCGTTAACTACAGAATCCTATGAAAGAAGATCATTTGGTTTTCTGGTTCAGAATTTGTCGTTATCGTCTTTACCGAGATCGGTCTCTTGTAAGCGATGATGAGTACGAATTTTGTCTTAAAATTGAAGAATATCTTGTGTCCAACAACCTAGTAGATCGGGTTTTGATTGCACGTCGTTTGTTAGTGGAGTTTGTTGAGAACATTACATTAAAGCTCAAGCTATTTTATCCTCAATACATTGTTCAGTCAAATAAATTGGATTGGTTTGAGGTAAATCAACTTAATATTTGCTAACGAAACGAGTAGTATTTAGTCGTTGAAATGTTGGCTGATTTCAAAGTACCACATCTTTCATTCGCATATCTTTCAACTACTGAATCTAACTTTTATTATTGTCATCAATGCAAGATAGATTTCAATGTAAGATACAAGGTAAGTTGCGTGTACTACTGATCTATAAAATATCTAGGAATGTGTCAATCTTGAAACACTGCTCAGTTATCTTGGACTTGCGGTTAATATTAAAGACTCTTTACGTCTGTTGAAGATATTCAACTTGCCTTACAGAGGTTTGAATGAGCACACTTTCACTGCCCTTCGAAAAATAGCTCAATGTGATAATCTGTCAGTTACTCAGGTCAGTTTTCGTTTGCTGTTAGTTTCTTACGAAACTACCGACACAGCTGGCAGTTGAAGTAGGTGGCTGTAGAAACTACGATGTTTATCACCTTTAAAAGGAGACTTAGTCTATTGGCTAAAGCATTGGACTTATAGCCAATAGGTTCCAAGTATAAATGCCACTCCACGTAATTCAGCCTGGAAGCTGGGTATCATCAGCCATCACACAATCAGTGTGGCTCATAGCCTGCCCCACATGAGAAGTCTGTTTTGCGCAACTGAGTTCAAATGACAGTTTCAGACTTTTGTCACACCTATATTCAGACACAGTGCGTAAGATTATTTCAAAAAGCATACCTTGAACATCTTCCTTTTAAGTCTCAAAATATCTTCGCCTCCATACAATCTTAAACATTAAATTAAATTCCGTGATTCAACCTGTTTTATCGTGGTCTTTTTAGTACTAGAAAGTCGCCCTAGGTTGCTGTTTTGTCCAGTAGGAAAGGCTGGATTTGTATTCCCTCACCCTTTCTCAAATTGTTACCAAATGATTGCAACCCTCGGCTTACTTTAAGTATTTTCAGTTTGAATACCGAGCTGAATGAATTCGCTGTTAGCAGCTGGTCGTTACGTGTTGTGTATGATTTTTTCCAGGACTCTTTTAAAGTTACTTCACTGTATGTATTCACTGCAGTAATCCGATAGGATGAATTTTGGAAATCGGTTGACTCCAAAGTAGTTTTCATCACCTGATTAATATCAACTGGAGCAGCAGTAAAGACCAAAGAGTGCCGGGAGGCTGTTTCGTCGTAATTTGTAACTTAACAGTCTTGACCATCCGTATTTCTGAGTAATGTGGAGTCAGACATTGGGTCTCTCAACCAGTGTCACCGTTCAGCCACTAGGTTAGATTTAAGTGCCACTTGTTTTCCAGACTGTTCTTTCGTAGTGGCATTGAATAGTGGTTGCACTAGGAGAACATTTTCTTCTCTTGGTTTTTCACTTAGTGAACTCTTGGCTTTAGATTTGGTTATTCTCAACAGTGTGATCAGTTTCATCACTATAAAAAATGTGTGACTGATTTATGAGTCCTCTATTGTTACAGTAATTCAGATTATTACTAAGAACTCAGCATATTAGTGCCGATAACTAAATCTATTAATATATGTATTAAACTTGGGCACTGTTGCGGTGTGTATGTCCATAATAATTTTTTTTGGACATATCACATAGTGAAACAGTATTATTTCACTGTACAAAAAATAAATAAATATGGAATAAAGTCTATCCCCTAACTGTTCCAGTTCCTTACCTTATCCTTTGCTAACTGGAAGTACTGGTTTTCGGTTTATGTTACCACTTGTGTGGTAAAATTACAGTGACAAATGACACATCAAAACTAATAAAACACATTGAGTACTGACTTATTGATATAAGTATTAAACTAGGGCACTGTGGTAGAGTATATCTCCATTATGGATAAGATTTTATTTATATATTTATTGATATCATATCAGGTTGACTTGATATGATTATGAGCTATAGTTTGTGCTCGAAACGTCATCAGTTAATATTACTGTATAACACTGTGTGATTTATCAAAATAAAATCTTATCCATGATAGAGTACTGACTTAGTTTTACAATGTAGTTTGTCAGAGGTGCTTAATCAGATAGTCTCCTTGATATTATATTGATATTATTCCCTTAGGTTCCGAGTGAATTATTGAGCTTCAGCATCGCATCTCCATTTTATCCTGTTCCTGCTGTTCGTGTTCATGATCGTTTATTTGTTCTCATTTCCTATTCACACGATTTCCTCCAGTGTCGCTCTCGGACACCCAACTCGTTTCCCAATCAGGTTCCACTCTAAGGCTTGGCGGCTGTTGCTAACCAACAGTTTCCTTAGCGTGTGCCCATTCTATCTCCATCTCCTCCCGAATATTTATTGGACAGTAGGTTCTTCGTTGCTTGGTTACCTAAGTTCCTTGTTGCTTATCCTTTCTGGCCATTTGGTCTTCAGTATCAAGCGAAAGCAGTTATTGATGAATGTCTGTAGTTAGCTGTTAGAAATGCTTTCGGCGATGCACGTGCCAAGTCTCTGAAGCGTATGGAAGAACTGACTTAGCTGGAATCTTGTTCCTTATTCTAAAGGCTGCAGATTTCCACAAGTATTTCGGATTAGTGAAAGTCCATCTTGCTTTTCTGATCCCGTCTTTTACAACCTCATCCATGCCTGCAGTAGATGAAACAGTGCTGTCTAGGTAAGGGAAAGAGTTGACTTATTTCAAATTCCTTCCGTTTATAGCGATTGTTGTTGTTGTTGGCTAGATCTTTTCATCACCTCTGTTTTCTCAGTACTAATTGAATGACCTGTTTTCACTGTCCCTTCTGACAGCTTTTTAGTTTTGGCCTGTAGATCTTCGAGTCTGTGCGACATGATACATGAATCTAATGCGTAATTCAGACCTGAAGTTTTGTTTCATTCCAATGCATTCCCGTCTTCTCGATCCCCACTGTATGTTGCGTGATCCAGCCCTGATAGTAGTATCAGGGATATCATCGGTGATAGCAGGTAACCTTGTTTTAACCCATGCCTTCACTTTAAACGCCTCACTGAGTTTTCCGTTGTGAATCACTGGGCAAGTGACATCACCACACAACTGTTGAATGGGAGTGATAAATTGTTTGTGGCACTCCGTATTGTTAAAGCAGTTTCCAAATTTCTTCGCGATCCAAGCTATCGAAAACCTTTTTATAGTCATTGGGGTGGAGGGTCGACTGCTATTCTATGGTCTATGTAGCGCTGCAATTCGATCCATACATAATTCGATTTTCCTGAATCCCTCTTGTTCCAACTAGGACATGTTTTGTTCCCTCCAGGATCATATGGCTTAATATTTTGTTTGGCGTGGACAGGATCGTGATTCCGCGCCATTTCTTCAAAATGCCTAATATCCCCTCTTTAGCAGTTTGACAAGATAGCCCTTCTCACAATCGGTAGGAACTTTTCCTTCTTTCAAAAACATCCTGTAATGGCGGCGTGAACATATCTTCCGCGGTTTGTGGGTCCCTTTCTTTTGCCTCTCAGGTGGAATTGCTTTGGTCCTATGCTTTATGGCGTTCATCACTTCTGCTTTTGCAGGAGGATTGATATTCACTGGCAGTTCTGTGACTGTTGGTAGCAGTCGATTCCAGAGTCCTTTAAAGTGATCACCCGTGAGTTTCCTCTGCTTCTTCTCATTGGTAATTCGTCCGCTTCGGTAACTTGCACTGGTTTCATCTGCGTCGATCTCTTCTTAGATTCCAACCTGGTTATCTTGTAAAATGTTCTCAGGTCCCTCTTATCTACAACTTGTTCTACTTGAGTTACGTGTTTGTCTCGAAATTGTCATTTGTCTCTTCTGTCGTGCTTCTTCACTCCTTTGTTCGGTACATAGTACGTTGAACTAACCTCTTTTGGTTAGTCTCCGTACTGATTCACCTTCTGCTTCACGCTCTGTCTGTCCATTATTAACTTCCATGTGTATATAGAGAGCCATTCCTTATCTTGCCTCACCTTCCTTCCTATGACGACTGGTTAGACAGGACAATGGGGCTTAATATTTTGCTCCGAGTGGATTGCAGCATGATTCTGCGCCATTTCTTGCATAGGTTTAATTCTCTATTCTTTGACATTTTGATAATGTGGTCCTTCTCAGTGCTTCTGGGAGGTGGGTTATTTCCGTATAATGGCTATGCCTTTCCAGCTGCCTTTCAGTAACTTTATGGCCGTTCCTTATCTTCTCTCTTCTTCTTTCTCACTATGCATTTTCTTTTTGAAATTACTTTCAGGCAGTTTCAGTGTTCGTCATCACAGGTTTCCACAGCGATGTTACTTAATGCGTCTGGCTTCCTCTTGATTACTAATGTGATGGTATCCTCTTTGGTCTTCAATTTCCGTTTGTTAGACCAGGAAGAAGGTGTATTGATCATATCTTCACCCTTCGACAGATTCTAGAACATAGGCATTGTTACCGGCGTCCAACAATCCTTATATTTCTTGACCTAAAGGCGGCATTCGATTCTGTCGACCGAGAGGCACTCTGGCGATGCTTGACTGTAAAGGGAATGCCAAGAAAATACATTGCACTGATCAAGGCACTCTACTCGAACTCACGCAGCCAGGTGAGGGCTTATGGCGAGTTGTCATCTGAAGTGGTGACGACTAGTGGTGTCCGTCAGGGATGCTCACTATCCCCATTCCTATTCAATTTCATCATAGATGTACTAATGGACTTAACCTTAACTCACTTCAGAGACTCAGGGATTGACTTGCTACCAGGGAATAATCTCGTTAACTTAGAATATGCAGACGATATAATCCTCCTAGGTGAGGATGCTGACAAAATGCAGAGTCTTCTGAACACCTTGAGCTGCAATCTACGAGTGTTTCGCATGCGATTCGCTTCCGCCAAATGTAAGATGATGTTACAGGACTGGACTACACTGACTCCTAGTTTAGAAATAGGGAGTGAAGCGGTAGAGCACGTTGACCGTTAATGGGTTGATCGCTGACGAAATCTCAGCACGGAAACAGAGGGCTAGTTTCGCATATTCCAGTTTACGCCGTCTCTGGCGTACACGTGATATCCGGCTAGCTATCGACCAAAGGGCGGGTGTACTACTCAGCAGTCCGCTCCGTCCTCCTTTATGGCTGTGAGACCTGGCTATTTTGAGAGTGGAAGACATGAAAAGTCTGGCTAGCTGTCTTTGATCATAGGTGACTCGGTTCTATCTTCCGTGTGAAGTGGTATAATAAGGTGAGCAATATTGAACTTAGGCATCGGTCGAGTGCTAGGTAAGGAGGGGAAATCAATCGACGAGGCTGTGGAATTACATCGACTGAGATGGTTAAGACGTGTGTTACTTATGCCTAGTCATCGCCTTCCTCGACAGGCAATGTTAGCCGACATAGGGTCAGGCTGGAAAAGAGCTAGCGGTGGTCAAACCAAAACATGGCACCAGTCAATGAAATCTA